AGTAGCTGGGACTACAGGCATGCGCCACCATGCCCGGCTAATTTTTTCTATATATTTTTAGTTGTCCAGCTAATTTCTTTCTATTTTTTTAGTAGAAACAGGGTCTCCCTCTTGCTCAGGCTGGTCTCGAACTCCTGAGCTCAAACGATCCACCCGCCTCCGCCTCCCAGAGTGCTAGGATTACAGGCATGAGCCACCGCGCCTGGCCTATTTTCTCCAATATATTTTAAAATAAGTTCTGAGAAGGAAAAAATGATTTATAATTTTATCATTGCAGGTTTATCTGTACCTCTTGCCATTTTATTTTTTCCCAAGTTACTTAAATGGATGAATATTTAAATCAACTACGACCAAGGTTTCGTTTTGTATATAACCCATAGTTTAAATCTGTATTCATGAGCAGTAAAAATTTGATCCATTATTTTTTTTTAAAAAAAGGATGAATTAGCAAAATATGTCCTGACATGGAATGCTCTAAGACATGCTGTTGAATAATAATAATAAAAAAAACCCAAACACAAAGTTACTGACACATACAGCACACAATGTGCATAACGCAACCTGACCGAGTACCATGTGTCTGCCTAGGATACGCATGTCTATGTAAACGCACCGCACTGGTCTGGAAGGACACACACGACCTAACAGCAGCTGTCACCTTTGGGAGGGGTGGGATGGGGGTCAGTCAAAGAGACTCAAACTTTATCTGTGATTTTTCCATTTCTCACAGTGAGATGTCATGGTTATGTAATTTGTGTACTTAAAAGTTAATTTTTAAAAACAGCCACAAAAAAATTACAAGGCCATTTACTACTGCTTCAGGCTGCTGCTGCAGGCTAATCTATTCTGGAACGCCACTGTTATCGTTGACCTTTGGTTACAGATTTTTACAAATTTTGTCACTCTTCTGCTCGAAAGTCCCTATGGCTCCCCACTGCCTTGGGAATACAACCCAACTCCTTAGGCTGCTGCCAGCCAGGGTGTGCACTGGCGCCCACAACACCGCCTTAGCGCCCTGCTCCTGAAGACCTTGGACGGTCCCACTGCCGGGCCCTTGCGTGTGCAGTTCCCTCCCAGAACGCTCTCCACGCGCCTCTCTCCCTACGCATATCCTACTCGTGCTTCAAGGCCCACTTGTGACCTCTCCACCTCTGTCCCTAGAGCCCTACTGTCCCTGGCCTTCATGTGCTCTTAGCCTCTGGGCTCAGCCCTTTCCCTGATCACTCGGGACACTGATAACCTTTCAACTGTCATTGTTCCTGAGGAATGAGAATGTTTATAAATTTTACTATCTCAATTAGCCTGCACAAAAGTCCAGTGAGCAGATACTACCATTACTATTCCTGTTACATTAAGCAGAAGCTCAAGCTCAGACAGGTTAAGGGCCCTGCCCAAGGGCACACAGCTAGTTAGTGGTGGAACTGCTAGTTACACAACGGCCAGTTCGCAGTTTATCTTTGCCACGAGACTAAAATCTCGTGCTTGCTGCTCGTTCACCCTGGTGCACCTGACATTTACTGGTTGCTAAATAAATATGAATTAAATGAATAATGCCCACAAACGCCTTAAAATGCAAGCACCTTCTTTATAAAATAACAGCAAACATTCAGCTCACTTGCCAGGCCCTTTCTAAGTGCTACAGGGATTGCCCCGCCTAGTACCAGCAACCACCCCAGGTGCATTTTGTACTACTGTTGGTGCCACAACGAGGACCTGAGGCTCAGAGGAGGTAACTGGCTTACCCAATGTCATACGGCCAATAGAGAGGCCGGCATGGGGGCCACCTTCACCCGTTTTCGGCACCCACTGTAGCCCATTCCTATTGTGCAGGCTGCTCTGTCCCCTCTCTCAGGGATAAAAACAGACCGTGGGCAGTGAGATGACTCTCTCAGTGTCATTCAGCAAATCAACAACTGTGGGTTCTGGAGACCCCAGAAGGGCCCACCTGTGCGCCCCGTTCTCAGTCACTGAGGGCACGCTCCCCAGGCTTGTCTTCGCGCCTACCCAACATATCAGCAGGCACTCCGTAGAAGTCACCGGGCACAGACCCCTGGAGGATGGTGACGGGAGAAGCAGCCACTCCTCATGGAGGCCATGAGGCACCCGAGGGACAGCCCGGCCGCCCACGGACCATGGCACTACCCGCCACTGCGGCGCTCCTGGGCACTCACCGTGCTCAGTGGACGGGGCGGGGGCAAGGGTGGGAGCACGGTGAGAAGCTTAGCAGCTCCATCCAGATGCGAATTGTCCCTCCCACACTTCCCGGGCTGCAGGGGCCTCCATTAGAGCCCCCGGAGGAGTCAGAATCCACACCTCCGCAAATGGGCCGCTTTCCCAGGGCCCCCCTGCCCAGACCTTCCCCAGGCTCTGTGGGTTTTGACACCTCTCTGTAACCTGGCAGGGGGGCCACCTCGCACCTTTGGTCCAGATAAAAGCTCAGGCCTGGAGGTGACCAGCCCAGCCTCCCACAGCCTGCAGCCCGGGCCATGGCTCAGTCGCCTCCGCAGAGCCTCCTTAGCCACGACCACTGGATCTTCTCCCAGGGCTGGGGCTGGGCCCACTCGGACTCCACGTCCCCGGCCTCCTCCTCGGACTCGTCGGGTTCGTGCCCCTATGACAGCTCCCGCGGCCCCTCGCAGCCCGCACCCCCCGCCTGCAGCTCCAGCGCCGCGGAGGCCACTCCACCGGCGCCCCGACGTGCTCGGACCTGGCCGGCTGGCGGGCAGCGGCAGAGCGCCAGCGAGCGCGAGAAGCTGCGCATGCGCACGCTCGCCCGCGCCCTGCACGAGCTGCGCCGCTTTCTGCCGCCGTCCGTGGCGCCCGCCGGCCAGAGCCTCACCAAGATCGAGACGCTGCGCCTGGCCATCCGCTACATCGGCCACCTGTCGGCCGTGCTGGGCCTCAGCGAGGAGAGCCTGCAGCGCCGGCGCCGGCGGCACAGCGACGCGGCGTGCCCCCGGGGCTGCCCGCTCTGCCCCGACGGCGGCCCCGCGCAGGCGCAGACGCAGGTGCAGGTGCAGGTGCGCGGCCCGGGCCTGGGCTCAGCCGCCCACGCCGGGGCGTCCTGGGGGTCCCCGCCCGCCTGCCCTGGACCCGGAGTCGCGCCCGAGCACCTGGGGAGCGGGTTCCCGGACACACATCCCTGGGTGACGCCCCCTTACTGCCCCAAGATGCAGTCTCCCCCGCATCCGTCCCAAGGGAGAACCCCTGACGAGTCTCTTTGGATACCACTCCAAGCCTTTCCCAGGACGCAGACATCCCCAGAGCCCGGGAACCCGGCAGTGCCCTGGACGACGCCCCCGGGGTCCGTGGAGCTGGCTGCAGTATACCAGGTACACGTCGAGGCCCTAGCTGCTTCCCTCGGCCCCCAGACTTCAGTTGGAAATGGAACCTTTAGTGTGCAGAGAATCTCATACTTTTTACATCCCAGGTTATGTAACCAGCGTTACCTAATAGAGGAGAGAATGGAAGGAGCCCTGACCTCCTTGGGGGAAGAGGTAGGGCCCTGAGAAGTTAATGCCACCACCAGTCACATCGCTGCCACCCAGCAGTCTTCACAGCCGTGGAGAAAGGGAATAGCCCTCGAACTAGCTCAGAGGGTGGAAGGTGGAGCCTGGGGGCTCTGTCAGGAAAATGGCTCCAAGTGCTGCTGTATGAAGTGTTCAGTGGAGGGAGGACTGCCCAGTGGAGGGAGCACTGCCCAGGGTAAGGGCAGTGCTCCTCGACTAGATGGGCTTGGAGCTGGTGACTTCATGTTTTCTTCAAGCTTCTTTCATTCATGAGGCCCATGACTGGCTCCTAGTGCATAGAAGATCATATTAATAACCAAAATTTACTGAAGACTTACTGTGTGCCCAACATCACTTGTGTATTAACTTATTCAGCCCTCCCAACAACCCTGGGAAGTAAGTAGGTATTATTATCATCATCATCCCATTTTGCAGATGAGAAAACTGAGACTAAACGAGGTTACTGAGTTCTCACTGGTAGTGAGTAGCAGAACTTGGATTTGAGCCTTGGCAGTGTGTCTTTAGAGCCAAGGCTCTTAACCACTGTAACCGCTGTGCTTCGCTGCATGCATAGAGCAGGGCTGTGCAGACTCTGCCATCCACACCTGGGGGAACTTTCATGTTCGAAATCTCATCAGGCAGTGGCCCACTAAGCAGCTGCTCTTGTCTCTCTTGCAGAATATCTCTATGTCTCCAGAGTCCCGTCTGTCGCTGGAAACCCCACCCCTCCTGCCCCGCCCATCATGCCAAAGACTCCAGCCTCAGACCCAGTGGGGATGCTGGAGCCACAATGCAGAGGTGCTTCCCGGCTCAGAGGACCAGGGACCAGGCCCTGCCTTCCAGCTCAGTGAAGAAAGCCCTCCCCAGAGCTCAGGCCTGCGGCTCAGTGGCTGCCCTGAACTTTGGCCAGAAGACCTGGAGGGGGCCCACCTGGGTGTCTTCTACTAAATGGGACTGCCTGCCCCCTTTTCAGCCAGGAATCAGGCCTGTTGTGGGGGTGCCTCATTTGCTACCTCAGTAGTTTTCAAGCTGGCCGTTAGCCAAGGATCCTTTTGCCCAGGGATGTCTTTCACGGAAGCAGTGCTTGAGACAGGTAGTGACGGGGGCAGTGTCTTCCACCACTAGACACCCCCAGAGCGCCCAGTGCTCTGCAGAGCGGTCTGAGCTGCTGTAGGATGAGGGCTGCTTGACCCCAAAGGCGGGGGCTGGGACTGTGGGGGAGTGGGTGTGAGGGCAGGCCCCATGCTCTGCTTCTTGGTGATGGCCAGAAGCTTGTGTACTTCAATTTTTTGTACTTTTGAAAAAAAAACACAACAAAAATTTGGTTTGGTCTGTTTTTGTTCTATCATCTTGGGTTTTGGGTTGGTTTTTTGTTTTGTTTTCTTTGCCCCTGGAAAAGAAAAATTGTTCCCCTTCTGGGAGGAACAAGTCATGCTACTCTTCTCCCCAAATCCAGGCCTTCCAAGGTTGGCGTGGGCCTCACTTGCCAATTTGATAATATTTACTGCACCTGGGCTCCAGGGCCAGGGGCTCCCCTTGGCCTGCTGTGCAAAGTGACACAGATGGGCCGGGGCTTGGGCCTGTTCACTCACCGCGGACACATCACCACTGCCCTTTTGCATTCTTCTGGGTGCATTCCTGCTGACTGCGGGCTGGGTGCACACAGCTAGGACAGGCAGACAGGGCCTCGAAATAGGGAGACCAGATTCCCAGAGCCCTGTGGTTTAGAGCTCTTTCACAACTATGAAATTGTTTTTCAAAGGATGTCTGTGAGCAGCCCCTGTGTGCTAGGCCCAGTGTGTTGGTTGCTAGGGCTGCCATACCAAACTACCACAGACTGCGTGGCTTAAACAATAGAAATTTATTTCCCACGGTTCTGGAGGCCAGAAGTGCAAGATAAACATATAGGTAGGGTTGGTTTCTTCTGAGGCCTCTCCTTGGGTTGCAGATGGCCACCCGTCCACTGTGTCCCCACATGGTCACCCATCTGTGTCTTCATCCCTTCTTATAAGGACACCCGTCATATTGGTTTATTTCCCACCCTACAGACCCCATTTAACCTTGGTTACCTCTTTTAGGGATCTGTCTCCAAATACAGTCACATTCTAAGGTGCCGGAGGTTAAAACTTAAACATATGAATTTTAGGGGGACACAATTCAGCCCGTGACACCTGGTGTTGGGTGCCAGAGGGAAAATATTTCCCAACTAATGAGGTGAATTACAGGGAAATGAGCACAGCCCGGGTCCTAAATGCAAGGATGGGGGTTTCCGTAAGGTGCTTTAGGACTAGGACGTGACAGCCTGGTGGGAGGCAGGGGTGGCAGTACCGTTTCGTTCTTGAGTGACCTGATCCACTAGTCCTGCTGCCTTGGTTGTGCTGTCTTGTACGAGTGAGAGGCACAGCCAGGATCTTGGCTGTGATGCCATGATCCATTAGCAAAGGTTCCGCCAGCAGTGATGGGGACTTCCTTCTGTATCTGCTGGCTCGGGAGGGGAGAGTTGCAGGAGAGGTGACCTTGGAGACAGGTGTTGAAGGATGTGCAGGAGTTTTCCAAGAGGAGTGAGGGAAGAGCGACCCAGGCAAAAGAAACCACATGAGCCAAGTCGAAACAGAAGTAGCTAGTGGCTAGAGTCAACGGGGAAAAGTGACAAGCAGGGGCTGGGAAGGCGCTCGGGGGCATGGCTGTGGCCGTGCGGAGCCCCGCGTGCTGGTGTGGCGGGAGGCATGGAACGGAGGGAATAGCAGGTGAGCTGGTCAGTGCTGCTCTCCGTCCCTTTGGCAGCTTCATAGAAATGGAGCCAGGCACAAAGCCACTGTGACAGGCCAGGTGGAGAGAGGGGAAGAGAGGCAGCCCAGAGCACGAGCTGCCTGCACTCCTGGCCACGTGCAGGGCCTGCCCTCTGACCCCACGTGGCAGGGCTCTGCCTGCTGACATGCCCTGTGGCATCGGGCAAGTCACTCCCTCTCTGAGCCCCAGTTTCTTCAACTGTGACGTGGAGGCAATAATAGAGCCTACCTCTCAGGCTTCTTATACTTGGCACATAGTAAATGCTCAACAAAATGAGTAGCTGAGTAGAGTCACGTTACCCAAAAATGACCTAGTCCAGTGGTTCCCAAACCTGGCTGCATGTGGAGCCATCCTGGTCCCAGGGTCCTGGTCCAGGAGGGCGATTCAGTGGATTAGGTTCCCAGGCTCTAACAAGACCCTCTCCAGGGGATGCTGGGGCCCAGCCAGCTTTGGGAGCAACGGCTATTCTTCATCCATTCATTTTATAGGTGAGGAAACTGAGGCCCAGGGAGGGGAGCGACGTCCCCTAGGCCTCCAGAGAGGTGTGGACGCAGGCCCCTGACTCCTGCAGCGCTCTCTCCCTCCCAGGAAGACCTGAGGTCTTGGCTCCCTGGACTCTTGGCATCCGTGCTGAAGGCAGAGCTAAACAACGGCCCTGTGTCCTTCCTTTGGCTCCCGCCTGACTGGGGTTAGTCCCTGTGGGGACAGAGGCAGGGTCTCCCAGCCACGCTCTCCAGCTCCCAGGCCCTGTGTGGGCTTGAGTGGGGCCCAGGAGAGGACTGGCCTCCACCGGCAGCAGCTGGAGATGAGCATCCTCTAGAGCCTGGCAGCCCCATCCTCTGGCTCCCTCAGCGTGTTCCTCTCAGGGCAGCAAAGGCAGAGCGAGTGGCCCCCGGCACCCCCGTCACTCCAGCCGAGGAACGCGTGTGGATTACGAGCTGGAGTCATGTGGGATGTCCTAGCCGCTGCTGGGGTGAGAGCATCCCAGCTCGGGCTAATTCTGCAACTCCTGGAGGGAAGGCTCAGCCCTGCCTCTCAGAGCGGGAACCCCTGCCTCCCATCTGTCCGTCTGTCTGTCCATCCACCTATGGCTCCATTCCAGGCGTGCTGCTCTGGCTGTACCTCTCTGCCAGGTGCCTGGTGGGAGAGGGACAGAAGCCGATTCTGGTACCCCATCTGGGATGACTGGTCTGCCCACACCTTCTTCTTGGGGACCCCAGTCACCATCCGGAAGAGACCGGAGTCACTGAGTAGCTCACCCAGGCCTTTCAAAGACAGTGCCAATGGAGAGGACACGCCGGTTTTTCATATGGGCGACTGAGGCTGGGAGCAGAGCCCTGTCTGCCCAGGTCCGGTGCTGCGCTGAACGGTTGCTCAGCTGGGCTGCTGCCCCGCCTCCGGAGGCTGTTCCTTGCTGATCCGAAGAACCTTCCCTCCTGCTGGCCTCGAGAGCCGAGGGGTCATCCCCCTGCAGACAGAGCCCTGGGCAGGGAACCAGCAACCTGAGTTCTAGCTGGTTTCTGCTCTTTGACCTTGATCAAGGTTCTGCAGGCAGGTCTCTGGCTCTGGGTGTCCTCACTGCATCCCGGGCACAGGCTTCCTCCAGCCACACAGGGCCTTGTGAACGCCAGCACGGTAAGCTGCCGGGTGGCACGAGCATGGCAGTGTGGACGGTACTGACCTGCCCCAGCTCCAGGTGGAGGGTGGGCATCTGCACACGTGCGGTAGAGCCAGACAGCGGGTTCCAGTTCTGGCCCCACTGGGCTGTGACTTAACCTCCTTGCCCTTCAGTTTCCTTGTTTGTGAAGCTGAGATAAAGACAGTCCTTATCTCACAGCATGGAGAGGACTAAATGAGATAATGTGCATAGACTCTTCTCCCTGGCAGGCCAGCTCTCCCCTGCAATGTCCCGGGAGCCCGGAGCCCATCAGGGACCCAAGATGGTGAGGCCGGCCCCTCCCCCAGCCGACCCCCAGAAGGTCAAGTGCCAGCCATGGCTGCTGGGTACTGGCGACAGGAAGGGCCAGCCCAGAGGGGCTGGGGGACTTAATCTGGGGCAGCCCAGGGAGCCTCCCGGCTGGTGGAGGGACATCACCCCATCTCCCCCGGCCTCCACGCTGCTCTTTGATGTGCGGATGGTGGTGGGGGGCCTTCCTGGCCCGCCTGCTTCTCACAAGGAGGAAGAGGCTGGAGGGGCTTGCAGCCAGGAGACAGGGCCAGGCGATAATAATACCGGCTGTCCTACGCGCCAGGCCACGTGCTAAGTACGCGAATGTCCTCACATCCACGCACCAACCCAACAGGCCTCATTACTTCCTCGTGTAGATGAGCAAACTGAGGCTCAGGGGGTTGGGTCACTTGCCCAAGAAACAGTGGCTGAGCTGCGCTCTGAAACCAGACCCCCTGGACTCCAAAATTCCAGCCCACAGTGTCGGTTGGAGCTGACTCCAAGGCCCCCCGCGGCTGTTACCACCTTCCTTTCCCCCCCGTCATGCTCAGATGCTCCGCTGGGCTCGTGGGGCTGAGGCTGAGGCGAGCCTCCCACAACCTGGCTCCCTTTGCCAAGAAGGCATCAGCTGGCCACCAGGAGCTGTGTGGATCCCAGAGGTGGCCCTGATCACCAGTGTCCCGGGTGATCTGGGGCACAGCACCCATCTTATGAGCCTGGCAAAGCTGTCTCCACCTGGCGGCTTGCCTGCCCCCTCAGCCCAGCCTGTCCCTGTGCCACTCTAGAAAACAGCCCGTTTCCAAGTTGATATCCCACCTGCCCACCCACCACAGAGCCTGGAGAGGCGGTGGGCCGTGCCCCTGGCTGGGGAGTGGTCACATCGAGCCTGGGCCCGGGCTTGCTGCCCTCCCTGCGCTGACCTTTCCCCACTGTCGCAGGTGTCCCGGGTGTTCCTGTGGTGCAGGAAGGGGGTTCCAGCCAGCACCTGCTCCCTCGCCTCACGCAAGGGTGGGTGCTTTCTGGATCGCACCCTCTGCACTCTGCCAGGACCCGCTGTCACCACCGCGGGAGTGCTGGGCCCACAGCTGCTTCGCCGCCACCCGGCTGAAGCGATCCCTGCAGGCAGACACCCGCGGCAGCACAGGTGCAGGCACCTTCAGGAAGGGCCGGCAGGCCAGGCACTTGTCCCCTCCCAGGCCCCACAGAGCTC